GTGTGTGTGTGTGTGTGTGTGTGTGTGTGTGTGTAGGTGTTGTGTTTCACCTGTCTCCGTTCTCTTCAGTTTGTCTGTCAGATGTATCCTGACGACAACAGAACAAATTAGCATAAATTGGAGTCAGCAGAACATCAGGAGAACATAAAGAGAATGTGAAAATACATCTGAGGTTCTGGTTCTGGTTCTGGACTCACAGCAGGATCGTCTGCCCTTTTCTGTTGGATCGTTTGTTTCTTCTGGAGTCTGACTCAGAACCAGAACCTTGGTTTGAAGGTTTTGTTTACCTGCTGTTTCTTCTTGGGTGGTAGCACAGGAACAGAAGGCTGCTCTGGTGAGGGGGCGGAGCCTGTGTTCAGGTGAACGTGTGGCTCCTGGTTGGAGGAGTCCGGCTCTCGCTGTCTGCTTTTAGACTTCTGGTAGAACGAGACGGCAGACTGATCGCTGTAGGACGAACAGAACTGCAGGTAGTCGTGGACTGAAGACAGGAGGGACGGACACATGGAGGGACACGTGGACAGAGATGGACAGGTGAATACAGATTTTGAAGTGTGCTTCATTGGTTGATGATGAACCAGCTGCTGATTTTTGCTCACTGTGTCGTTTCTTCTCAGGGAGGGGGGGCGGCGTCTTACAGGGGGACAAAGGGTTGGGTGCAGGTTCACCAGGACCAGAGTCGTCCTCGTAGTTAGTGGGACTTGTGTCCGAAGGGGTGGAGTTAAACTCAAAGGACTGGTTTGGAGAGTTGACAGTACCTGGTTTAAAAAGCAAAGAGGGACAATGAGACAGATGGACAGAGACCAGCAGGAGGGTCAGGTGTGTCCTCACCTGTGCTGCCGCGAAGTCGTTTCTCTGGCAGGGCAGGGGGCAGAGGGGGTAGTGCCTCCAAAGCGGACAGGTCTGTGTGGAGGAAGTCGAAGTCTGGATCATCCTCTGAGAACAAGACACTGAGAGTCAGGACTCAGCTTAGACCGAACCAGGAACCTGACCCTGTTGGACCAGACTGTTTAGAAACATTAGTTTGTGGATCATCTGCAAAAAAAACTCCCGAAGATTTGTCTCACAAAATACGTAAAAGTCTTTAAAAGTATTTAGGTTTTTATTTTTTAATTAGTTTTAGGTAGGGATGTTCGATAATATCGGCCTACAGATATTATCGGTCTGATATTAGCATAAAAATGTAAAATCTCTATATTATTATCGGTTTTTATTCTGATAACAAAAGCCCAATAAATTAACACCTGGATGTTGTGAAATGTTTGTGGAATGTTGTGTTAAAGTGATTTAATATGCATTTCATATAGATTAAAATATTTTATATAAATTATTGTTACAATGAAGAATAAAAAACTGGTATTGTTAAAATACTGCATTAGTAAATTTAACTGGTAATGCTTTAATTTTGACGAGGCACTAAGGGGAAGTGAAAATCATTGTTCAGCTGTGATTACTTAAAAATGTTTGTAGTCTTGTGTGGTGCATTGGCAGCAAATTTTTCACAGTAAAATGTAAAAACAAGAACAGAGTTCTGGTCATCTTTCATGAAGATCCATGTTCATATCATTTTGGTGCCGAAACCCGGGAATGAACCAGGGACCAAAATGTGTTAATAAATGCTTGTGGTCCAGAGACGTTCACCGGTGCACAATTGATAACATCATCAAACTGGATTATCTCAGGGAGAGCATGATCCAAACTATTGTTTGAGACAAAATGTTAAAAATAAATATGGCACTTTTTCCCTAACTTCAGTTAAATGGTTTTTATTTTTGTAAAGACAATGTTTACCTTTGGAATGCATCCAGTTGGGTATCAAAAAACGGGCATAATGTCCCTGACATGAGTTATGTGATATCACCTTAATATTGGTTTGTAATATCGGTTAATATCGGAATCAGAAATTAGGTGGTGAATAATATCGGCATATCTAATATCGGCAAAAAGTCAATATTGAGCATCTCTAGTTTTAATAAATATGTTCAAATCTGTCCCACAGGAGAGAACTAGCTAATGGTGTTCTCCCCAGGTCCAGGTTAGGTTCTGGGTTGGAGTATCTGAGAGTTTTGTTGATAAGAGCTAGTCACCATCAACCAGACTGGTCTGAATGGTGGAGTGCTGCAGAAATGGTCCTCCTTCTGGAAGGTTCTCCTGTCTCTGCAGACCAACACTGGAGCTCCACCAGGTTCACCCTCCTGGTTTCGCTGCTTCTCAAGAGATAAAGAGGAAGAAACTGAAGTGGTTTGTCCACATAGTGAGGGCCAAAGGGAACTTTGTCAAATGATCCTTCAGGAATCCACAAAAAAGGGCATGTCCCTCTTGAAATTGGTCAGAGGACGTCTGAACCTGGACACAGGTTCACTTCTATGTCCTCACCTGTCTCGCTGAGGATCAGCCTAAGTGAAGGTGAAGGATGTCCGTATGGCCCTCATGGCAAAAGACTCCAGGCACTAGTGTAGCACTTGAGACCAGTCTTGGTCTTAAGACTGGTCTCAAGACCACTTTTTGTTGGTTTTGGTCTTGTCTCGGACTCGACAGTATTTGTATGCTGTCTTGTCTCAGACATTGAGGACTCAGAATTTTATTTCAAGACCAGTCAAGACCACAAGTGTGGAAATATCACTAAATAGCCAGATTATTGTCCAATTTATTAGTTAAAATTCTTACTTTCATTGGATTTAAAACAAACTGATTCAAATCCAAACCTGACTCACTGCTATTTATGTATTTTTGTTACTGGCAATCACCCATCGGGAAATTAACTTGTTATCTCGAGAAATGCTCATTGTTATGTCATTATCATGAGAAAACCATGGAATAAAAATTATCAGAGGAAAACATCCGCCCTTAGCTTCAGTAGAATACTTTATCTTTTAGGGCAATATTTTATTTTAGTTTTTCTGGTCTTGGTCTTGACTTGATCTTTCCCTCCCTTTGTCTTGGTCTCGACTTGGCCTAGGCCCTAAAAGTCTTGGTCTTGTCTTGGACTCGAGACACTGTAGTCTTGGTCTTGGGTTAGGTGGTCTTGATGGACTACAACACTACCGGTCCCTCAGGATGTCTGCAGGAGTCCTGGTGGTTCCACGATGTACCGTTGGAGGTCACTGTTCTTATTGAGACCTTCATGGTTCATGATCTGTGCCTCCATGGAACCCTGTTTCTGAGGTCTACGGGCAGCTCATGTACGGTACCATGTATGGTACGTTACAAAGACAGGCGTACGTCTTTCCATGTGTCCAATCTTTTATTGCTATAGTTTTGTCTTCAGAGTCTGTGGGTAGTTTCAAACAAAATGCATAAAAATGATTGAAACTGATTCTGGTAGGGGTTTCATGGTGTGAGAGTCAACGACAGAAAAAGATCAGCAGGTTTCTGTTCGTCTGTCTTTGTTTGTGGTTTCCCACTGTGGCAGTTCTGACTCACAGAACTCTGCTTCAGGATAATTTAAGTTCAGTTTTCCTGAAACGCTGTGTTGAGTTTGAATCTTTCACTGTTTTAATGTTTAAATTTATGAAAACCAAAAGCTTCAGCTTTAAAACTTGAATTTTGAGTTTAAGTTTATCCAGCAGGGGGCAGCAGTGAGCGCCACATCCCAGCAGACAGGAAACGTCAGCTGACAGGAAGTGATGTCATTCACACCCCCTGCTGCTGACAGGAAGTGAGCGTGCATTACCACAGAGTGTGATGTTGGCAGCAGATTCTGCAGAAGAAGACGAGAGCCGCTTCAAACAGTCGTCCTGCAACACAAACGCACAAAGTGTCAGAGTTCAACAAACAGTGAAAACATCAACACACAACCGAAGGCCTCTAAAGGAGCTGAAGATCTGTGGCTCACTTTCACATGTGGAGTTGTGTTAAAATAGTTCAGTCTGAGGTTTGTGTAATGAGTTTCACAATGAGTCAGATCACAGCCGCTCTGTCTGCAGAGGACAGAAACACCAGCTTCTTTAATTCTAGTTTTACTTCTCAGAATAAAGCAAAAGTAAAACTCAGCTGTTCCTCAGCTCTGCTTGAAATCAAGCGAAATCAATCCAACACGTGACAGAATGACACAGATTTATTTAGAGACAGAAACCAGACCGGTTTGGATCACTGAAGGAACCCCCCCACCCCCGACTGTAAGAAGAAGAAGAAGAACTGAATGAATGATTGGATGGATGAATGGATGTTAAGTTTATGGATTGTTGGATGGATGTAAGTTGATGGATGATGGATGGATGATGATGGATGTAAGTTGATGGATGGATGGATGGATGGATGGATGGATGGATGGATGATGGATGGATGGATGGATGGAAATTTATGGATGGATAGATGTTAAGTTTATGGATGGTTGGATGGATGTAAGTTTATAGATGGATGGAGGATGGATGGATGATGAAGGATGGATGATGATGATAGATGGATGGATGATAGATGGATGGATGGATGGAAGTTCATAGATGGATGGATGGATGGATGGATGGATGTTAAGTTTATGGATGGATGGAGGATGGATGGATGGATGATGATGATGATGGATGGATGGTAGATGGATGGATGGATGGATGGATGATGATCGATGGATGGATGGATGGATGGATGGATGGAAGTTTATGGATGGATGGATGATGGATGGATGGATGGTAGATGGATGGATGGATGGATGGAAGTTTATAGATGGATGGAGGATGATGGATGGATGATGATGATGGATGGATGATGGATGGATGGATGATGATGAATGACGATGTACACTCACTGGCCACTTTATTAGGTACACCTGTCCAACTGCTCGTTAACACTTAATTTCTAATCAGCCACTCACATGGCGGCAACTCAGTGCATTTAGGCATGTAGACATGGGCTACGTTCACACTGCAGGCAAATCCGACCCAAATCCGATTTTTTTGACCCATCTGACTCATATCCGA